CTATACTGTGACAGCACACTCCTCCTTTCCATCCCTGATTTCCTGTGTCCATTCAACCAGCTCCTGACCCTCTCTGCCTTCTCATCTCACCTCCAGACAGAAGCTGCCCATTTAGTCTCATGTATCTACTTGAGCTAAGAAGCACACTCTTCACGAGTATCATTTTATGTCCCATAGTCCAGTCTAATCTTTGTCTGAAGAGTTGGCCTCGGGAATGGTTTTAGTACACTGAACACCTTTTGAGTGTCAGAAAGTATTAGGAATCAACTACAAATAAAATCTGGTCCATCTTTTCCCCCAACATACAGTCAAAAGAGGCAGACAGGTGTCAACCAGTTAATTTAAAAAGCAAATGGATGCTATAACAAAGTAATACTCCTCTACCTGCTGGGATTAGAGAAGACTTTATAGAAGAGACTAATGTACACGTGGGTCTTGAAGGATGAATGTGAGAAGGAACCTGAGGGCCTTGCAGACCTTCATGAGCTACTTTGACAAATCCAAATATGCTAAAACTATAGCATTTTCCTGATCTGAAAGTCTAGTAAATCTATCACAATATTAAATTTGTTTATTCTGATATAACCTGTTGGCAAGTCCTTCAGGACTCTGGGATCATAAGCCCTTCTTTTTGAAATACTTACAAACAATCCTTTGAAGGATTTATTTTAGATACTGATGCCTAACTCATCAGCATATCATTTGTGGAATCTGTATTTCTCATCTCACACTGTTTTTTCAACTGTAACTATCATTTGGTGCTTTGAAATCTCTCATATATTTACTGGATGCAGTCCATTTTTGCCGTATTATAGGACTTGGTTTAAAAATTCATGATTTCCAATGATGATAGAAATATATAGCTATGTCTTTGCTTTCAGTGCCAGCTGTTGGCCATAGCTATGACTTATTTGATGTCAAATTCTTGTTATGAAGCATTAGTCCCAATTATGATGATAGTCCTTAAAAAAAAAAGATTAGTCTGTTTTATAATAGCTTAAGAAGCTATTTCTAAGTTTTAGTGGTAATTGCAATGCTCTTGGTTGCAAGTAACAAAAGACTCAACTCAATCACATTGATTGGCTGAAGCAAACAATCCAGAGTCACTGGCTTCAGACATGGCTTGTTCCAGCCACTCAGATGACACTACCAGAACCCAGTTTGTGTTTCTTCCCTTTTTGGATCCACTATCTCAGGTTTAGCTCCACTCTTAGTAGGCTCTTCCCTTGTGATCTGCCAATAGCTATTTACAGCACTAGGGCTACCACTTCCTCATTCAAGAGCAGCAGGCAAAGAGACAGTCTGTTTTCCTGACACTTCAAGCAAAGGCTTAGAACTGAGTCTTAGCCAGGTTGGTCTGGATTACCCATTCCTGACTCCATCACAGTGGTCAAAGAGTTGGGACACGCCAACTGCCCTAGATCAATCAAGGCCCACCACTGGAACTGGGGCAGGGGTCATCCTACGCAACCTCACATGACTGGGAAATGTGGAATATTCTTAGGTTGAGGGAGAATGGGAATGGATGCTGAGGAAGCAACTACAAATGTCTGACTTAGAAATTTAGAAGTCTAAGAAACTTAGAAATCAGCTCTCTCAATATTGAATATAAAATATGTTGTTGTTAGCTGCTGTTTAATCAACTTCAACTCGTGGTGACTTTATGTACAACAAAACAAAGTGTTGCCGGCATGTTGTTGTGCCAGTCTATCCTACCAAGAGTCTCCCTCACCCTTGAAGGCCCTCTATTTCACCAAACATGATGTCCCACTCCAGCATCAATCCCTCCTGATGACGTGTCCAAAACGAGTCAGTGTTCTGTTGTGATCTATAAGGTTTTCATTGGGTAATTTTCACAAGTAGATCACCAGGCCTTTGCTCCTAGTTTGTCTTAGTCTGGAAGTTCTGCTG